AGAGAGCACAGGATTAGGGGGCGGAGGGGCCTTGGGCATTCATATCATGGCTATGTAAGGTAATGAACTTTAGGAGCTGTTGTGTTGCAGTATACTACTAGTACATTCATGCTGGAATCACAAACGGAGGGTGAACGCTCGCTGAGGACCGCTCATTGCGTGTGTTGTGTGTGTGTGTGTGCATGTGCGCGCGCGCGATGCCTCCAGGCTGTTGTCGTGCACACACACACACACGCGCCTGGGGCCTCATTCCTATCCTCTAATGTCAGCTCAGCCCTCTGGTCCTGCAGCAGCAGCAGCAGCAGCTAAAACCAGCAATTGACAAACGGTAGCAGAAAGCACAAGCGTCAACGACCTCAACTTAGTTTAGATAACCGCTCCCCTCCAGATGGCTTCCCAAGCGAACTTCTGCCCCTTTCTGCCTCCTTTAGCTGAATTGGTGTAGAGTGAAACATTTTTACATAAAAGAAAATCTAAAAAAAAAAAATGGTGCTGAAGCCTACAAACCCCATTACCCGCCCCCCCCCCCCGCCGCCGCTCCGGTCTAAACTTGCCTCTGCCACCACCTTAACATCCTTGAGTGGTATTGATATTTAAATATAAAAAGTTAAAATGGGTTGATTCTAGCTATTCTAGTCTTCATAAAGTGTTAGTGTTAATTATTTCAAAAAGCATTAGACACTAACCTGCCTCAACACATCAAACACTGGAATTAAACTAAGAGGATATAATTCAAATTGCAAACATATTAAAAAAATGTGGTTCTCTGTCAAACCCCGAAGGCTTAGAAAACACAGACATAGCCTGGATCTGTGCTAGCATTAGCATTCACATTTGTTACTCACATACACGCATTCACTTACAAAGGGCTCCTGAGCTACAAATGGTAACTTTTAATTTACCGTACTACTGCTGATCCATACTGCCATAAATGTAGTCCCGTCCTGCCCTTTGTGTAAATGTTCAATTGCACCTGGGGACATTTCTAAATGATGGGAAGAGATGCTTTGAGTTATTGCCACATTAAGCTTAATTACCGTTTTGGGTAATAAAAAGTCTTGGGAAAGAGGGCTTGTTACAGAAGCTTCCCATTCATTACTTAATAGAGCTCAAAATATTAATTTTTTTTCGCCTTTTTGACTGATTTGTTTTCAGCTTTCCTTTTTTGCTCTCCTAGCCTGCGTTGCCCTCGCAGCCATCCCTCTTGTGTGTCCCTTCTCAGTGCGTCTAGTCACCTCTGGGGTTTTCTTCTGATGTTTTTTTCCATGCCCATCTGAATATGAGCCTGTGAATGCCTTTAGGGCCCCAATACGTGATAAAGGCCTTTGCAAATAATCTTGACTTGACTTGCCTTGAGTGACTGTCCTGGGGGTGGTGCACACAGTGAAGGGTGGGGCTCGCACTCGCGGCTATTGGAACCTGTTTTAATATAAAGGTGCGGTGAGCCCAGCACAGGTCTAGGCTGGGCAAGCCATTCGCTGAATGCAGTAGAGTTTGAGACTATGGTGGTGTTTTTTTTTAGATGGGGTCATCGAGCTATATTGAGAAACGCTGTCACAGCAACATTTGTGATGTGTCAGACACCTTGAAGCTGGGCAGAACCATGGCACTGTGTGCACATCACTAAATTCGGCTCGGTGGTCATTTGTTACCCTTTGTCCTCCATCATCTTCCCTTTTTCCCTTTCCGTCTCATGCATTGAGGCCCATCTCATGCACTCACTCCCAGCCGCGCCTCACGCATGCCTCTGCCCTGTCCCCCTCCCAGGTGGCCTCCAGCTCTGGATCGGGCTCCTCTCCGGGCTCCTCCTCACGCCAGCAGCTCCGTCAGCGGATCACGCGCGTTAACCTCAGGGACTTCATCTTCTGTCTGGAGCAGGAGCGGACCACGTCCAGGTCTCTGCTACTCTACAAGGCCCTGCTGAAGTGAGGTGTCCCCCAAGGAAGTGTACTTGGTCCCCTTGACCGCCCTCCTCCCATTCATCCGCAGATAACAAAACGGAACCACTCGCCCACCCATAAAACAGATAGTTTTTAAAGATATTTTTTTAGATGCATCGATTATGTTGGCCTGTGTCCTTAACTATTGTGTGCTCCCCCCACTTTGACGCCCTTGGTTTGCAATACACCCCATTTTTTAAAAATTGCATTCATTTGCCCTGTTTCGGCACAGCATGAGTAGACGGACCGCCTGCAACGCATGAGCTGCAGATCAGAATTTGAACGCGACGTCTTCTTCTTCTGAACAAAACTAAGTAGCTCCAGTGTGTTGTGGACCGTGAGAGGACAGAGCCCCGTCATGTCACACTGCTACTGCCCTGTCCTGTACCTCGAGAGTTGCCTTCAGTCTCTGAACTCCCAACCGGCAACCTGATCATTTTTGGTTGGGGGTATTTCTGTTGGGGGTGCTGTTCTCACCTCAACCACCAACTCACGGCTATTCCTTCACCCCTCCCCTCCCTACCGCCCACCCTCAGGAGGCTTTGTATTTTTTTTTATTATGATTTTTATTTTTTTTTGCTCATCCTGGTCAGCTACGTGGTGAGGTCTCATCTTACTTTTTTTTTTTTTTTTTTTCATGTTAAGTACTCGGTCAACAGTTTGACTCCATTTTAAATTGTCTACAGGGTGAACAGAGTGCTGTGATGTGAACGTTGTTTTAAAGTGCTGCCATGTTGTGAGTGTCGATTCTGGACGGCAATGTTTCCGTGGCGACAAAGCACACCCACACAGTATTCGCATAACAAAAATACACATGATTTTAACTGCTTGGCAATTGTCTTTAGATGCATGTAAGTATTTTTATATGTGTGCGTGCGCGTGTGTGTGTGTCATTCCGTACTACACAAATTCATCTAATCGTTTTCCAGAATACAGTACTGCATCACTGACTTTTAAGATGGATGCAAACTATACACAGATGGGTAACTTTTTGTTTCAACGAATCATGTGACAGTACACCGGGAGCTGGCTCTCTCATGGACAGTAAACTCACTCAGGCTAGTAAATGATGAAAGGCTAACAAAACAACAATAGAACTACGGTCCGAACAAACAAAAACCCTACATTATCATCATGTCTTCTCCCTACTGTGTGTGTGTGTGTGTGTGTGTGTGTGTGTGTGTGTGTGTGTGTGTGTGTGTGTGTGTGTGTGTGTGTGTGTGTGTGTGTGTGTGTGTGTGTGTGTGTGTGTGTGTGTGTGTGTGTGTGTGTGTGTGTGTGTGTGTGTGTCGAGTATGCTTAACATGCTATTATAAAACGCTTCAGAACCTCATCACAAATACAATCTGTTAAAAAAAAAAAATTACTTTTGTCTTTGTAAGTTGTATATGAATTCACTTCACAGTGTCGAGAGATTGTTTTTAAATGGGTGTATTTTGGAATAGTGTACATTGAAAGTTTTAACACTTTAAATGTCTTTTTTTAACTGTAAGAGACATTTGATTTGTATAGCATATAGCTCTAATTGATTACTAAAGATGTGGAGTGTTTACCTTACTGTCTGTTCACAGCCTGGGTCGCTTCACCCAGCAACAGAATCACCCATTGGAAGGATACAATTTTTTTGCGACTATTTATATTTCCTACATACTGTATTCAAGCCTGACACAATTCAGGCAATGCAATTTTACTATTGTTTGTACCTTTGCAGAAAAATTGAAATAAATAAAATGAGTAAAGAAGCTTGGCTTGTGTTTCACTTGTGGGGTCTATAGCCTTTGTGATATTGGGGCAGCCAAATTTGACTTAAAATGGTTGGATGGTGTCACAATTGTATTAACTGATTAGATTAAGAGAGAGATTAGATGTTTTCATTTCTCATTTTTTTCCCAATATGTAGAATATGTATCCAATGCATAATTGAGGGTGTGTCAGGAAACATACATTTTAAGTGGCTCGGCAAGCACAGGCTTGTGTGATAATTTAAAAATCAGTTTATTGTGCATAGGTTGTAGTGATACGAAACGGCAGACACTTTTTTGTTTGTTTGTTTATATCAATTCAACTGTACAAACCAAAAATCCTGACACAAAGATAACAAATACATTAAATATACATAACTTTTTTTCAAAATAGTTAGAAAAAACGAATTATATTACAGGTTTGGTGCCATCAGGAACCAACAGGTACATAAAAATGATGTTTTGATTCATTTTTTCCCCCATGTGCACTGGTCATTGTGTTGGTATCAAACCCCAGTCTTTGACACGTATAACGAAATGTAGTTAATCTATTGAGGTTGAAATTTTGAATTTACGTTTTCTATATCTACACTATACCGGCTGCTTTCTTTTTTTATCCCGCATTTGTCACTTGATTTTTATGAACCTTTGAAATAAAGTGGTCAAAATTCACCATCAGATTCAGAGTGAACTGAACTAACTGAACTAAACATCTTTAATTTCATTCAGTTTGGCAAATAATTTAAGGACTTCACACTCGGTCTAAAGATTGACGTTTGAGTCTTCTGGTCTTGGACTTCAGACACAGTGGTGCCATTAGCTTATGTTCCTTCCCTCCCAGCGTGCCCAGGGCATTTTGATCCAAACAACGTTGTCGTCGCTGGGGTACAACGGCGGCCGCCTCCCGTCGACGCTACGTGTCGGTGTTGTTTAGTCCAGTGGTTCCTGTTTGATCCGGATGGGCGTGCTGGTAATGGACTGGATCGTCACAAGGTCACGACACATGACGTACTCGCTGAACTGGGAGGAGTCCACACCGCCACCGCACGACGCCTTCACCGCGAAGCCCTTCTGAAACAACCTCTCCAGCACCTGAGGGAAAGGTCAGAGGTCAGCTGTCTAGTCGGGTTCATCTTCTCAATGTAACGTGTCACGTCAGCAGCTTGTATCAGAGTCCATTTCTGTATCTGAATCTGTCGGTTTATAAGTTTAGGTTTTTGATTTTGACTAGTCAAGGGCGAGTCCTATTGCTATACAATAACTCATAAATCACAGACATTATTTCCCTCTGTTTTAAGTCTTGCATTTACCTTTAAGG